TGAGCTGCTGATCAGTTTCAGCAGCAGCTGACTTGGGGACGCCTGGGGTTCTTAAGTTGAATCTGTATGTAAGTCAGAACTGGTGTCCAGATTCAGCCGCTGTTGAAACTGATCAATTTCAGCAGTGGCTGAATCTGGATGCCAGTTCCGACTTACATACAGATTCAACTTAAGAACAAACCTACAGTCCCTATCTTGTACTTCATCCAGGGACTGCCTGTATACACAGTTACTGGATACAGTCATTCACATGAAAGCTATTTATCTCTAAACAATTAACACAAGGTATCAAAAAAGTGAACAGAAAAATAGGCATTTAATAAATGAAACAAAACTCTTACCCATCGTGAAGGGTCACTGATTAGATTGATAAAAAGAGTTGACAGTTTTGTCCGCCGGACCTCCTGAGATGTTGCACATGAAACTGCCATAAAGCATTCGGCACAAGCCTTCCGAACTCCCCAAACATTATCAGAACAGAGCTGGAAAAATCTTGGTAGCTATATAAAACATGGTAAACAAATGTTTATGAAAACTTTAATAGGGATTATTTGTTCCAATTTATGTTCCTTTACCTTACTATTTCCCTTGTTATTCTTTGTCCTGATGCTCTCAGCAGGATCTGTTTATATTGGTTTTGCCAAGCATGCCCTTTTGACTATCCTATTAATTAGCTTCCCTCAAAAATGGGCATCAAAGCATGTGCACCTGGATGCAAAATACATTTTTGACATCCAAGATTTTCCTTTAACTCTCTTTTAATCACTGTTTTTCTCCTATATCCAAGTAACAATCTATCCATAAACTACAAAAAAAAAAAAAAAAAAAAAAACCTCCTCACTAGGTAAATTCGTTTGAAAGAGATAATAGTAAAGGGACACAATCATACTTGTGTCTCACAACTTTGTTTTCTATTGTCAGAAAACATTTAAGATTACAGGAAGTCCCCGGGTTACGTACAAGATAGGTTGTACTGTAGGTTTGTTCTTAAGTTGAATTTGTATGTAAGTCGGAACTGGCGTCCAGATTCACCCCAGCTGCTCTACCGCAGGCGTCCCCAAGTCAGCCACTGCTGAAACTGACCAGGGGCTGACTACAGGAAGCCCGAGGCAGAGAAGCTCTAGCTCTAGCTGCGCCCCCCTCCCCCCAGCAAACCAGGGAGACGCGGAGCGGCTTTTCTCTCCCGCATCCTCCGCGGCAAGAAAAGCCTGGTCTGGGGCACTAGCTGCGCCCCCCCGCAAGCAAACCAGGGAGACGTGGGCGGTGGGACAGCCGAGAGGCGCCGTGGTCCCGCCGCCTGTGTCCTCCACGGCTTTGCTCCGCTTTCTCCCTGGTTTGCTGGGGGACCCCCCCCCCCAGCAGACCAGGGAGACGCAGAGGAGCTTTTCTCGTCGCAGAGGACACGGGCGGTGGGGCCGTGGCGCATCTGGGCGGTCCCGCCACCCGCGTCCTCCGCGGCGAGAAAAGCCCCGTTCGTATGTAGGGATCCGACATAAGTCGGATCCATGTAACTCAGGGACTGCCTGTATAGCAATTGGAAAGAAGATTCCCAGCTAAAAGCAAATGATGAGTCTTCAGAAAATGAAGAATCTCTCTTTTTTTAATGCTATAAAACTCCAATTGCTAGCTCTTATAGACTGTAGACATCAACCTTTAAACCTGTCACTGCCCTATCAACAGAACACTGTCCATTCCTGGCTCTCAGGTGAAAAATTCTACATTTGGTGCCGGGAAAGAAGAGGTTATTCACCTCATGCAGTAACTGGAATTATTTAAAATGTATTTCCCTGTAAGTGCTCCATTCTGAAATGTGCCTCTGATCAGAAATTTCTGAGTGTGATGGAGCACAGCTAGGGAAACACCTCTTAAAGAACTCGTTATTGCACAGTGTAAGTCACCATTTCTTCTTCGAGTAGTGTCCCTAACGGGTACTCTACTTTAGGTACTCCTGAGCAGTATCCTTTGGATCCAGCTCCAAAGCTTCCTCTTCCAACACAGAAAGGACTATTGTGCCAACAGCAATGCCTGATCTAAAGGCATGCATCGAGATACAGTAAAACTCCAATAGTCCAGCATCCAATTGTCCAGCCTCAGAATGGCAAGAGCCTAGTGCAGGGGTGGCCAACCCGAGGCTTCTGACGGAAAAAAATTGCGCCTCCTGACGGAACCGGGATGGAACCTGGAACCACTCAGGTCAGCCGCTTTCACGTCTGGGCTGCTGTGAGCCTCATGTGCGCTCACGGCCCCCAGTGCACTGCGTCACACCCTGCACGTGCATGTCGGGTTGCACACAGCGTCCCAGCCTGCACGTGCTAGCAGCCGGCCGCTGAGTGCAGGCAACTGATTTGGACCCTGACATAAGGTTGCGGGGGGAGAGATGCCTGGCTATGGAGAAGGGGAGGAGGATCGGGGGAGGAAGGCAGTGCGCATGGCATCCTGGGTGTGGCACAGCAGTTCTGGCTCTGGAACCGAGCATAAGATTGGGGGCGGGGAGGGAGGATTGGGTTACAGCAGGGGGGGAAGTGCTGGCTCTGGGGAAGGCAAGGGGAAGGGAGGGGACTGGCTTGCGCATGGCGTGCCGGACAGCTGATGCTCAAAGCCGGCCTCTCAGCGCATGTGCCCCAGAGCCTGGAGGGAGACGTGGCTGTAGCGGCAGCTCCGGGAGCTGAGAATTAGGTTAGAGCAGGGGGAGGAGGATTGGGTTGGGAGTATGTCCCCTTATAGCACCTCCTGATAGTCCAGCATATCTGATCATCCGGCATCACCTAGGTCCCGAAGTCTACTGTACTGTGTTTGGATATTTCAGCAATTGATATATCCTTTTTTTATGAGTGCTATGGAGATAGTTTGGAATCTTGAACAGTGAGCTTCTATTCTCAAAAGGGGCTGAACATTAATAGCCTAGTAACAAACAAGAACACAACTGGAAACTCACACTGAAAATCTTTGGGTAGACTTGTGCATCCTTTAGAATTGTTTGAAGCTGAAAAACAGTCTCGGAGACTTTCTAAATGGTCTTAACTGTTCAAATAGAAGGCTAACTCCCTTTTAACATCCAAGATATATAGGGCAGCTCAATTTACATTGTTTCACTATAAGCCCAAGTTTTCTGGAATGTATCTTGGACTTACAGTGAGGATGATCTGTATTGCAGGACGTTTTAGAATGTGGGATTAAATGTACCTTATTCTTGATAAGAGTGGGGGGATGGAGAAATATCAGCCATCATTGCTCCCAATTGCCTGACTCTGGAAGCAGAAGTACTAAACTGCCATTTTCATAGGTAAGTTCAGCAAATAACATAGCTACTGGCTTAAAGGAAAGTTTGATAAGTCAATTAAGGTTCACATTCAAATTCCATGTAGGCTCTCTGATTTGGAGGAAAAGTTTAAGAAATCCTCTCATGAATCTTGCTGTTGTGGGATAAGCACAGACTGAGAATCTCTGGGGACTAAAAGGCTATAAAAGCTGACAAACTCCGATAGCACTCATTAGAAAAAACAGAGTTCAGTAAATCCAGTCAGTAATCAAGAACAGTGGAAAGGGCAGAATGAAGAGATGAAAAGTTGCTGGACAGACCATTGGTGACATTTTTTTCATTGTGGATCTCTAGAGATATCTTTCTGTCAGTCAAACAGGAAATCTCTCTGAAAAACACTGAGGAATCAAACACTGAGTCAGAGGATGTCCAGATTGGGATCCAACCTGAGATCTAAATCAGCAGATGGAAATAGTTGGAACTTTAAATACTGTGCAGAAGCTAAAATGAATCAGGAAAATGTGCTAGACCTGTCTCAGACAAATTTCTGAAATGAGAATAACTGTCTTTGTCTTGTTAGATCTTATTCAACACTCTTTGAATCAATTATGTCAAAAGATATACATAGAAAAAACCTCTCATGCAAGGAATGAGAAAGAAATCTCCAAGGACCAATAAGTCCGTCCTCTTGCACACAATTTTCTTGCACTTCCTCTAAGCAGAGGTCACAAATATGTCCACTTTCAGAAACCTGGGAAAAAACTGTTTGAGGATCTGGGAGTCCAGTTCCCACTCATAACCTTGAAAAAAAACATCTACAGAGATAATCAGCCATGGTGTTTTGCAATGCCTGGAAGGTAAGAGGCTGAAATGAGGACGTGATAGGCTATAAATCCATTCCACAGTTTTATTGCTTCACTACAATTGTCCCTCACCAATATTTATGTAAAACATACAGATTACATCAGTCATGACTTTGATGGACTGGCCCTTGATTAAGGACAGAAAGCAGATACAGATGTTCCAGATGGCATGTAACTCGAGGGGGTTAGTCTGTAGGAGATAGTCTTTTGGAGCATGTGCGTCCCCCTTAGTGTTCATCCCTTTGCATAAATGATCCATCTAAACTTATGGTGAGTCTAGCACCTAATAAAGGACAGACACCAACTTCACTGGTAGAGCTCTGTGTGGATACAAATACATGAATCCACATCTGGCAGGATCAACCTACAGTCTGACCTGTGACACAGTAGCTGTCTTCCCTCTACCCCCATTCACACAAACCAGCCGTCTGGAAGGGGAGAAGGGAGTGGAGATGAGCGAGTAGGGGTTGGGATGAGGGGAGAGTTTTGCAGGGAAGAGGCAGTGTGAAGGAAGTGACTGGGGGTTAGGGGCAGTATGAGTGCAGGGTCTCAAGAAGGGAAAGTGCAGAGAAGGGGCCAAGCCGCTGTATGACAAGTGGATGCTGGAAAGCCTTAACTCCAACCTGGCGTTCAATTCCAGCCATTGGCTGCTGGCCCTGGCTGCAATGCACCCTCTAGGCTGCCTGACAGGTGATGCAGCCCAGTCACTGCTGTTCAACACTTACCTGCAAGGTACAGGGCCTGCCACTCTGGGGCACAAGGGACCAGGACAGGGTACCGGAATGCCCGCG